TTTTTTTGCGGTACGCGGGCCTCTCGCTGCTGTGGCCTCTCCCGCTGCGGAGCACAGGCTCCGGACGCGCAGGCTCAGCGGCCACGGCTCATGGGCCCAGCCGCTCCGCGGCATGTGGGATCCTCCTGGACCGGGGCACGAACCCACGTCCCCTGCATCTCAACCACTGCGCCACCAGGGAAGCCCCCAGCAATGCTTTTTAAAATTCACCTTCCTCTCCTCACATCCCATCTTGCAACCTACTCTGAAGTCACCCCTCGACTTTCCTCATCCCTCCTTGGTCCTCCCTCTTTCCCAGCTCCTCTTTATTGTGTAGAGCAACTTAGCCCCTCCATTCCTTCTCTCTTCCCATTCTCTGCTTATGTAAGAAAAAAATCCATATCCAAGTTGGCAGATAGCTCCCCTTAGAGTGCAGGGAAGTAACTCTCATATTAATAAATCTTGTCGGGCTTCCCTGGTGGCGCAGTGGTTGAGAGTCCGCCTGCCGATGCAGGGGACGTGGGTTCGTGCCCCGGTCCGGGAAGATCCCACGTGCCGCGGAGCGGCTGGGCTCGTGAGCCATGGCCGCTGAGCCTGCGTGTCCGGAGCCTGTGCTCCGCAACGGGAGAGGCCACAACAGTGAGAGGCCTGCGTACCACAAAAATAAATAAATAAATAAATAAATAAATAAATAAATAAATCTTGTCCTCAAAACACATTCAAACTCACAGAACAGTAATTTGAATTCCATAATCATGAAATTGCAAATGACTCTTTTCCTATATTGCTGTGGAAGAATTGGCATATGAGACCTCTTTTTGAACAGGGACCCCAAACTCAAATGCCCACAGGCATGTAATAGAAAAGAGGGCTGGACACCAGGTGGAAAATAGTGACACATGAGAGAGACTACTGTCTTAGTCCTTTCAGGCTGCGCTAACAGAACACCGCAGACTGGGTGGCTTATAAACAACAGACATTTATTTCTCACAGTTCTGGAGGCTGGGAATTCAAGATCCAGGCGCTGTCAGCTTCAGTGTCTGGTGAGGGCCTACTTCTTGGTTCACAAACGGCTGCCTTCTTTCTGTGTCCTTACATGGTGGAAGGGGCAAGAGCTCTCTGAGATGTCTTTTATAAGGCCACTAACCCCATTCATGAGGGACGGCTCTGCCTACATGACCTAATAACCTCCCAATGCTCACCTACAATTACCAACACACTGGGGATATGAATTTTGGAGGAACATCAACATTCAGTCGATGGCAACCATGCAGCCATTATTCAGTTCCAGCCAACAATGCCCTGTGGGAATGTAGGCTCAGAATTGCCAGATTTTCTGATTTTAAAAAGAAACCAGAAATCCAGATTTTTAGGTGGAATTTCCCAATTTTAAAAGGCACTGTATGGGCAAAAAGCAATCATAGGCAAGATTTGTCCCACAGGTTTACAACCTCTGATGTCAAGGAACCTGTGGCAGGCATCACCAAGTCTGTTTGATGATGGCAAGTCTAAAGTCTTGTTTTCTGCTTAGGTCAGAGCCCAGGAAGAGAGTCTGGGAGCGGTCTCCCATGAGGAAATGGAGTCCTTCACAACGTCCAGTGGGAACACTTACTTTGTCTTCCTGCCCCTGGAACAAGAAGAGAGTAGCAAGAGGCCCCATTCCAACCTTTCTGCCATTCTCTTCAATGACACTTCCAGTGCCAAGGTCCTAGAACAAGTGATCATTCCATCCAGACTAGTTTTAGAAATTAAGAAACAGTGAGTAAAAAACCCTTTTGTTCTCATTCTCCTTGAGTTTTATTAACAAGGTGAAATAGTATAATGGAAGATTGGACTCGTTTCGATGGAAAAGAAAACACGTAGGTAACTGAGGGTAGAGATGAGAAACACAACACAAAGTAGCAGATGTCCAGGGATTTTTCGCAGTCACAGACATCCTCTGTGAGAGTGAGCCCTCTGCCTGTCCCAGGATGACTTGCTGGCCTGGGCCTTGTATCAATACATAAGAAATGGGGTTTTCCCTAGAAGTTGTTTCTGGGTTCTAGATCCTGGCATGTCTGTTAATATTAGAGTTCCTTTTCTTTTCTTTTTTAGGAAAATTATATAGATATAGACCATAGTTATGAGTATATCAGTATGGTATTTTGCTCTGGTTATATGATGCATTTAATGTAGAAAATTGAAAAAAGTACAATGAAGAATATAGAATAATTTTACCACTGAACATTTACCGCCCCTAACTCCCAAATTTCTTTCTGGTCCTTTATGTTTGAATTTGGAACAAATGTGAAAATTTGCATTTGGCTCTTGGATAGCATTTGCATTGCCCTCCTGATACTACAGTGTCATAGCTAGGACTAACCAGCTAGAGATCACCTGGTTAGCCTACCTCCCATGTTTACACATGGACAGGAGACCAGAGGCAGGGAGTAGAAGGAGTAAAGTCAGGCCTTTGGACTCTATTCTCCTTCACCTCAGCATCATCTCACCTTGAAAATGTCTTCTGACTTGAACCTCATCCTCCTCCTTCCTCTGTCACATCCTCCTCCTTCCTCTGTCTGCCCTCTCCATAGACCAGGGAATGAAGAAAAGCAAGGACCACCATCGGAGCTAATATTTATTGAGAAAGTTTAATACTCTCAATAACTAAGAGATGGGTACTGTAATTAGCTCATTTTACAGGTGATTCTAGAAACTGAAGCTCAGAATTAATAACTTGGACAAGATCTCTGAGACAGGAAGTAGTTAAATCCAGGATATGAACCTAGACCCTGTAATTCCAGAGTCTTGAACCAAACACTATGCCATCTGGCCTTGGGACCAACCAAAAAAATAGTTCTGTGTTCAACGGATTGGATTTGAATGTTGAAGCATAGCATACATACCGAAAAGTATGGAAAGTATGAGCATATAGCTCAATTAATTACCCAAAGGGAACACACCCAGTAATCAGTACCCGCAGGAAAGACAGCACCACCAACCCCCTTCATGTACCCATCTCACGTCACTGCCCTCCCTTACCCAAGGATGACAAATATTCTAACTTCTGAATTAGTTTTGCTTGTTTTTGAACTTATTTAAATGGAACCCCATAGAATGTATTCTTTTATGTCCGGCTTCTTTTGGTGAACATGTGTATACATTTCTGTTAGCTATATAACTAAGAGTGGAATTGTTGGGAAATTGACTTATATGTGTGTCCATCTATCTTTTGGTCCATCTGTCTCAGAGGAGATACAACCAAAAGATACTGCCAAAGAGGTTTCAAAAGTGGTTTTGTTTTAACAGTTTACAGCAGTGTATGAGAGTTCCAGTTGCTCCACATCCTCACTTGGTTTTGTCAGTAGTTTTTATTTTAGCCATTCTGGTGTATGTGTAGTGGTGTTTCATTGTGGTTTTAATTAGCATTTTCCTGATGAGTAACAATGCTGTGTACCTTGTCATATACTTATTGGCCATTTAGTAATCTTTCTGTGAAATGCCTAGCCAAATTTTTTGCCCATTTTTTTTCTGGTGGATTGCCTATCTTATTTCTTATTAATTTATATGAGTTATCTATCTCAGATATGAGTTTTTTGTTAGTTAAATACATGGCAAATGTTCATCCCCTCTCTGTGCTTGCCTTTTTTACTCTCTTAAAGGTATCTTTTGATGAACAGAAATCCTTTTAATAAGGTCCTAGTCATCAGTTTTTTTCACTAGGGTTAGGGTAATTTCTGTCTTATCTAAGATATCTTTGCTTGCTCCAAGGTCATGAAAATATTCTCCTGTGTTATCTACCATAAATGTTATAGTTTTTTTGTTTTTTGTTTGTTTGTTTGCGGTGCACGGGCCCCTCACTGCTGTGGCCTCTCCTGTTGTGGAGCACAGGCTCCGGACGCGCAGGATCAGCGGCCATGGCTCACGGGCCCAGCCGCTCCACGGCATGCGGGATCCTCCCGGACCGGGGCACGAACCCACGTCCCCTGCATTGGCAGGCGGACTCTCAACCACTGCGCCACCAGGGAAGCCCAATGTTATAGTTTTAAACTTTCATAGTTAGATGTACAATTCAACTGGAATTGATTTTTGTTTATGTATGAGGTAGAAGTCAGATTCATTTCTTTCCCATATGGATAACCAGTTGACCCCAGGCCATTTGAGAAGACTCTTCTCTCTCCACTGCTCTGCCAGGCCTCGCATCACCACCTCCCCCTGATTGATTACTGTAGCTTTATATTAAGTCTTATTATCTGGTGGTGTAAGTCCTCCAAACTTGACGTCCTCCAAGATTGTTTTGACTCTCCTTGGCCCTTTGTATTTCTGTATAAGCTTGAAATTAGCTCATCAGTTTCCGAAAGAAAACATTTGCCGAGCTTTTAATGGTTATTGTATTGGATGTGTAGATACATTTGGAGAGAACCAACATCTTAACAATATATAGCCAAGAAAATCACTCTACATTTTAACAGGATGAAATAATAAACTGGGAAGAATATTTGCAACTCACATCTCAGTCAAAGGACGTCATGTTCCCGATACATCAAGAAATCCTAGAAATTAATAAGAAAAGAGGCAACTACACACTAGAATGGTGGACAAAAGATATTAATGGATAGTACACAGAAAAAGAAATTTAATAGTCTTAAACACATGAAAATATGCTCAATCTCAGTCATAATATGACAAAATTGTCAAATTCAAGAGTTTGACAATACATTCTGAAGCTATGGATAAATAGGAACTTTTATTCACTGTTGATGGGAGTTCAAGTTGCCTTGCAACAGAAGCAGTTTGGCCGTATCTACCAGATCCACAAATGTATTTCAGGCTTTGATTCAATAGTCCCCTTTCAGGGAATTTATCCTATAGAAATTGTCCTACACTTGACATATGTACGAGGTTATTCACTGCAGTCTTCTTTGTAAGAACAAATGGTTGGAAACCACCCAATGCCCTTCAGCAGGGGGTCTGGCTACATGAATGATGGTCCACCCAAACAAAGAGAGACAGTGTCGTGGGAAATAAAATAAGGAAGAAGGAGCAGAAGGGGGAAGCACTTTAAGCATCAGTGTGGAAAGATATCTCCCTGGTCACAATTGCTGACCCTCGCTGGTCTCTCCGTTAGGCTTCGAGCTGGCTTTTTTGAGCACTTAGAGAAGTGGTTTGACCAATGTGCCCTCAATGCCCGGGTCATCGTGGCCGCCAAGATTGATGAGCTGGATTCAGAACTGGAGCTGCGTCTGCACCTGCACCAGCCAAGAGCCCAGCTCATTGAAAAGGACATCCACAACGTCAGGGCAGGTACTGCAGACCCCCGGTGTCTGTGCCATTGCAGCCCCACATTCATTAGCAGCTTGTACCACGCAATGCTTAGCATGTTGTCATCACACGTTGGAAGATGTGCGTGAGGGTTCGTACCTCCCAGGTTGGCAGAGGTTGTACTCAGAATCCTCATTTAACGTTTTTTAAAAGAAGGTGTTAGATGCTGAAATGAAGAGTATTGGCCTATTTTAGCTTTGTGGATCCCAGATATGCTCACACACCTGTCAGACACACAGCTGCATGGCAGATGCCCTAGAGGCAAGCCTGTAGTTCAGGAATCAGAGCTAACAGGCTCAACCTGTCTAGCTGTGGGATTCTGGGCAGGTTACCTGACCTCTCTGATCCCTTCCTAACCTGCAGAGGGCATGCTGTTGGTGGTAATTAACTCTCCTTGAAATGGTACAGTGAGGAATCACGAGCATCTGGCGTAAGCCAGAACCTCCAAAAGTGGTAGCCATTATTTTCAGCTTATCATTTTTAACACTTAAAAAGACATGCCATTTCTCTCTAAGGCAGAGGGCTCCATTAATTGGAGGGAGGGAACTTTTATTTGGATCCTTCAACGGCTCCTGTCAGGTTTTTACTCGAGTCACACTTTAAGCTCCATTATTGACCCTGAAAGCTTCCAGAGAGCCTCCACGTGACCCCACCCAACCTCCTATTGCCTGGAGCAGCGAAAGAG